CATCAATAGAAACACGTGGAGCTGGATTTTAATTTGTGTAATAAGACAAAACAGTCTTGTTGTTTTCAACAATTTTCTCCTTAAACAGTAACTTAAGTTACACTTTAAAGAAAAAAGTTACACAACTGATGTTACAATACAAAGAGTTGGATGTTGTCTTGATATTTGTTAATTTTTAATTTTTATATTCTGATAAATATGTTAAATAAAAAATAATAAATAAAAGTTTATTATAGGAAAAAAAATTGTATAGGTCTTCTGGACGGGTTCTTCTTTAATGAAATGTTTCGTCTCTCCTCCAAGAGACTTCTTCAGTCTGAGAGTTTGTTGTTTATATATATAGAGTTTGTTGTTTATGTCTATAATGTTTATTATAGTTTTTCCAGAGTGGCTTGAATTTTGCATGATTTAGTTCATTTGTTAGATTGTTAACACCTTGCACTATATTTCTTTTACTTGAATTTTATATGCTTTGGTTGAGATTTTATGTTGATGTTAAATCTTTTAAGCTTTTTTTGTTAAAGAATTTACTCTAGAGTGCATATTTTGTGTCCATGAAAAAAATATTAAAGAAAATATTACAATATTAAAGAATTCTTGTTAATTTGATGAAAACGTTTTAAATATTCAGTGCACTCACATCAGAATAATTTATAGATTTGTTGTTAGAATAATCCATTAATCAAAAAAATAATCGTTAGATTAATAGATTAGAAAATAATCGTTTGGTACAGCAATACTTCATGCCACCTTTGGTTCCAGGGAACCGTGACAACATTATGTCAATGACATCCTGCATCCATAGGTCTTATCCCTTTTCTGAGACAGCTCACTGGTCCAGTCACTCAACAAAATAAGGCCCATCCACATAAGGAACATGTCTATGGACAGCCTGAATCATGCTGATGTTCTACTGTGGACAGTAGGACCTCAACAAGTCCCCTGATCTTTCCTCAACTGAACATCCTGATCCAGTGCTTATATCCAATTGTTAAGTGCCAGTTCAAACAGCTGTATTTTGATGGTGACTTACTGGAGGGACAGGAGAAAACAACTCTCAAAAGGCCCAACATACCCGATCAGATGTCGACTCCTGGTCACGTTTGCCAGGCATTTGCTTTTGCACATACTTTTCATAGGCCATGAGAGAGAGAGAGAGACAGCATACAGCTTGTTGGAAACCCCTCTGGTTGATGCACACTTGAGGCTCCTCTCTGATATCTGCCGTTTGGCCACAAATTTGTTCTGATAGAGTGCTACACTTTTCAGCAGACGGATTCATGCACAATGTCTGTGCTTTCTCTCCATCCAAATGTATTTGGCCGTTTGACCATCTTTATAAGTGCCTGGAAGGGTCATTAAAGAACGTACCATCTAAGTGACTTGGACAACTGCTCCTCAAATCTATCCATGTTGTTTGGATGCAAAACAGCCAACCTCTGGAAGCAAAATGCCACCATTGTTATTGGAGCACTTTTCTGAATGAACAAACACGCCCGCATACTTCTGACCAATCCCACAATACTCTGTGCGTTCGCCGGTGAGAAAAAGGTTCGGACAGAGACTCATGTCGAGAAGGGGCGGGTGAAACTGCTCTGAGAACAAATAGATGAAATTTTCGATACACAACTGCAACAAGAGTGGGTTTTACAGCTTGAAATGGAGTATAAGGGCCTTCAGTTCTGCACTGAATTACTGCTTGTCTGCAGGTCCAGCAAGAGTCTGCAACCTACTGACATTAAACAAGCAGTATACCTGCACAGCAAACTCTGTTATATGATTGATTTTATATTGTAATCACTGCAGTAGTGTCACATAATCTTTCTAAATGTGAATTTTCATTTCAACCACTTTGTGTAGGTGAGTTAACTTCTCTTTTGCCACAGTGATTTTAACTTTAACTATGAAAGTCAATATAATTTTAGACTGTTAAAATCTACCATAATATACTGAAAGACACTAAACTGAAGAACCAGTGAGACAGGGATCCTTGTGAAGTTTGCAGATGACAAGAGGCTGCGAAGATGCCATACCTTGGTTTGAGTGTTGAGCAGCGGAGAGCAGAGCAGTGATGTTCAAAGCAGGTCCAGCAGCGAGGAGCTTATGAAGCACAGACCGCAAGGAAGCTTGGGTGACAGCAGCTGCCAAGACTGGAGGGAAGAAAGGAGGAAAGAAGACAAAGAACACCACACATACTTGAGCATGAAGATGCACAATAAGAGAGAGCCAAAACATTTTGCACAATGCAAACACAGGGGTAGACATTAGGATTTTTTTTTCAGGTTGCCCAGCGGACAACAGGTTGACAAAATCTGGTTGTCCGCAAAACATTATGATTGTCCAAAAAATCTAATTTAAAATTTAGTTTAATAAGTATATTGTTCTGTAAACAAATTTTACTGTATACAAATGTTCTCAGTCAGCAGACTGACAGTTTCAGGAACTGTTTGAGTTAAACTTCCTAGTTCTCCTCATCATCCTCTTCTTTGAAATAGAGCAAAAATCAACACCAACATCCATAAGCTATCTGCTTACAGGTCAAACATTTTCATTTAAAGGGGACCTTATATGCAAAATTAACTTTTTCAGGGTTTTTTTTTTAACTTATATTTGAGTCTGTTCTGCTTCTAAAAACAGTCCAAGCACCAAAGAAATGCACCCAGAGGTATCATTACTAGAAGTAAATGTATTTTTTGCGTCTTGAAATGACCTGTTTTCAAACACCACCGTTTGAGACGTCACAAACAGAACTCCAACCCACCCCGTCCTGTTCTACTACTGCTTTTTACGACGTGGTCTCATTTCCGGACTCAGCCATTTTGTGAATGAAGCCGATATTTCGGTTAAAATACATAAGTAAAAATATTTATCCGAGTATAGTACTACCCCCCAACCTTATGGATGATTTTATGGATTAAATTTTACGTATTATACTTGAAAAAAATGGTAATTACAAGATTGTAGACACCTGTGAGGCTAATTAGTGGACACACCTTGATTTAACATGACCCTTTGGTCACATTATTTTCAGGGTACCATCATTTCTGCCCAGGCCTGTTTGAGGAGTTTTATTTATTTTTTAAACTCTGTTGGCTGGGGACGGGGCCGGTGGCCTGTGGGATGGGGTAGGCCAACCCAGCCTGGGTGTCTAGCATGCTATATGTTATGTCAGTTGTCTGAATGATGGGGTGGGCGTGGTATTTCTTCTGGGGTGGGGCTGGGCGGATGGCCGTGGTGGCGGCGGAGGGCTGTGCTGGGTCGGCTGGCTGGCCCCTTTGTTGTGGCAGGGGCTAGCTCTTGGTCCCTCCTTGCGCTGTCAGCGGCTGGGTGTGCGCTCTCGGCTAGATCATTCTTGCTGGGGTTCAGTGGCTTCTTTGGGCTGCCGGTTGGCTGTGGGGCTGGGGGTCGGGTCTTGGGGGTCTGTGCGGCTCTGGGGCGGGGGGTCTGTTGGTCCCGGTTTCTGGCAGTCCTCCGGGCTCTGTCTGTCCGTGATCTGGCGTCTTTCGGGCCTGGTGGTCTGTCCAGAGGAGGAGGTCTTGGGGGCCTCAGTCCTTGGGTGGGTCTCGGGGAGCGGGGGAGCCTACTGGGGTCAGTGGGGGAGCTGGCCCTCTGCGGGAGCATTCTTGCTCCCTCAGTTTTTTCCCCGCTGGCTGGCTGGGGTGGCTGCCGGAGTCTGGGGGGTGGTCGATTGGGGGTGGGCACCTGGCCGTTGGTAGGGTGTGGGGGTGGTCCGGGGCGTGGCTTTGCTGGGGCGGGGGGCTGGTCGGTCGAACTGGTGTGGCCTGGGCTGGGACTTGGCTGTCTGCTCTTCTCCACCCCAGATTGAAGGGGTCTACCTCCTGGGTTCAGGTGTGAGCTGCCCTCTGCAGGGGGTGGGTGCACATCCTGGACCTGGGGTTATAGAGTATGTATGGGGAGTGTGAGTGGATTGTGGCGTCCATCTTGTGTGTCTTTGAATGAGTGGGTGAGAGGATGAGGGTGGGACTGTGTGATTGTGTTTGTGTATGCTTGTATTTTTGTCAGGCTGGGACTTCGGCAGCCCCTTCTTCGGGATTATTTGAGGGTCCATTACTCCCCTGCCATGCTGTCCTCTAGTGGGTTGTGCCTTTGCCTGCCGGCGCACTTGTGGCTCTCGTTGTCCGGGGCTGGGTGCTTGGGCGTGTGCCAGCTCGGCCCGGTGGCTGCCCGGTGGGGTTTGGGTCCCTCTGGCCCTGTCAGGCCTTGGCCTGGGTGGGGTGCACCCTGGGGGCCCGGGCCTCTGTGTCCATGCCTGGATCCACTCTGGCACAGTGGGTACCGGCGGAGCCTGTGTGTTCGTCGCTGCTGGCCCTAGGGGTTGCTTTGTGTGGTCGCTGGTGGGGCTCTTCCGGTTGTCTCCAGTGGTCCTCTTTGGGGGGTGGGTGGGCGCCCCTTCTGGCGCGGGTGTCTCTGGGGCTGCGCGCTTGGGGTCCCTCTCGGGGTCTTTGGCGCTGGTCCCCCTTATGTCGGCTTCTGGCTTTGTGGGTCGGGTCTGTGGTCCCCCACAGTCACTTTGAAACTTTTCATTGGAGAGATTCATGCATGCTCACAACCGCACACAAACAGGTGTTTACATCCTGGGTTTTCTATTTGGCCACTGACTGAATGGTATGTGCATATGTGTATGAGTATAGATATGTGTAAATGTGTATGTGTATATACTGTATATATGAAAGTGTTTGGATATGCAGGTATGGGTATGTTTATGTGTATATGTATAAATTTATATATGTATATGGGTATGGTTTTCAGCAAGGCTATAGTCATTATTATATACTGTAGATTTGCATTTTTGTTGCTGTGGTTTTGCTATCTTTGTTGTTGTAGGTGTGGAGCCAAGAAGTCGGGTGTGCTGTCTTGTGTTTTCTCAACATATATTTCACATACTGTATCTTCTAATCTCTCTTTCATTCTTTCTCATTACATTTCCCTTTTTTCTTTCTCTTTCTTTTTCTCCTATTAAAAAAAGGGAAAAAAAGCCACTGATGACGAAGAAGCCAAGATACTAATATTCTGATATTCAGTTCTGCTTTCTACTGAAGTGGCAAAATAAAAAAACTGTGTTGAAGCATGGTTGAAAAATAATGATTTCATTTGTTCATTTTTTTGTTCATTTTCATAAAATCTTTATTATTATTTTTGTCAGATTCAAGTTATTTCTGTGACCACTGTGGGTTTTTCTTTCATTAAACGAGGGGTACCAACAGTTTTGTCCACGTGTATCAGTATGCCCACTGTCCCTCCTCTGCACATGTCCAAACCATTGTTTGGTCTCTCTAACTTTATTTTCTCAGTAGACTCATTCCTAATCTTGTCTCCATAATCGTCCCTCCCAATGAGAACCTCGTCTTCAGCCCTTCCACTTCCGGTTCTGTCTCCTGTATTATTGTCATTTCCACCGTCTTCAAGCCATACAACTTAACTGGTCTCACTACTAGATATCCCTTTTCTTTGACCTTCGCTGCCTCCCTTTTGTCACATCACGACGTTAATTATTGACCAAAATATTAACTCAACCAAACTTTGTCGGCCGATGATTGTTTGAAAAGAGAAATGTGTGTGTGGAGAAATGTCAGCTTTTTCTGCTTCCACAATCACCAACCCTCACCTTCATTGAGCTTGGCCATGTCCATGTTGCCGTTGTTCATCTGCAGAGTTGCCTGTAGCGCTGGGAGGAGCTGATGAAAGAGGGCGGGGTCCTGAAGCAGTGCAGTTGATGGTGACTGCACAGTTGCAGCACCCTGTCCTGTAGAGGAGGACGACATGTTGGAGGGGGCAGAACCTAAAGACCCAGCAGCACAGATTAGGTTCTGAGAAGACAAGTAAGAGGAGGACTGGCTGCAGTTTGAAGTTGTGGATTGGTCCCCCGATGTTGTTTCTGTGAATGATAAAATTAAAATGGGTAAAACATAAAGCAAAATACAAAGAAAATTACATAGACATGGTAAATCCCTCCCCCAAAAAATAAAACACCAAAAACAAACAAAACAACCACACTTCTGTAGTTACATTTTCCTTCTCATTCGAGCAGTGCTGCCTCCAGAAAATTATTAATGGAATTTGACCGTTTGGGGGCCACTGAAAATCCTTATGTAGTTGAAGAAATTTTGTAACTGATTAACTGAATATTAGATTCAGTTTTGTATTTTATACTTTCTGATCATTACAGCTTTAAGGCCATAACAGAATAAGAGTTGGTGGGTGTGTGTGTGTGTGTGTGTGTGTGTTACCATGTGTTCTTTCTCTTAGCCTAAACAAAACTGAGTGACGTTCTGACGTCTGACATAAAAGGTAACACCTCTGGGGTGTAACCAGGAAGGGATGAACATTATAAGCTSARTTCATTATTATAGTAGGAAGAAGTTGTCAGTGTTTTGCAGAGTGTCTGCTCAGAGCAGAGCTCCTGTGTTTGTTTTGATTCAGCCCAAGGTTGTACGCTGAGGCCTGTGCTGCTGAGCGCTGAATGTACCCGATTGGCGTCAGAAGATTGAAAATAAAGTTTTGAAGAAGAAACCCAGCTGAATCCTGTTCATTCAAACATACCATTTTGAACAACGCATATTTTTCCAACATAGTCATATACTGAATTGACCCTTTGCAACTACGTCATCTAATCACATGGATGTGCCATGACGGTTGTCCAAGTCCAAATGTTTTGTTTCAGATTTTTTTTTTAATTTATCTTGGAATCAGATAGAAACCTTACAGCAGGGGTGTCAAACTCCAGTCCTCGAGGGCCGCTATCCTGCATGTTTTAGAGGTTTTCCAGCTCCAACACACCTGATTCAGTGATTGAATTAACTCTTCAAATTGGGCAGAAGCCTGTTAATCACCCAGCGATCAAAATCTGGTGTGTTGGAGCAAGAAAACCTCTAAAACATGCAGGATAGCGGCCCTCGAGGACAGGAGTTTGACACCCCTGCCTTACAGTGATAAACAGCAAAAATATCTAAAAAGATGACTGTTTAAAACAAGTTTTTAGTTTAGTCTTACTAGCTGTGGCTTTTTCCTGCAATGTCTCTTGTCTGTAATCCATGTCCTTGGGGAAACTGTTAGCCACAATCTTCGCTGAATCTTTCTGGCGTTGTTCCCTGCAGCAGAACAGAGAAACATCGGTCAGAACGAGACGAACACAGAGTGGAATAGATTGTTACAAACCAAATAGATAACATTCTTCAAGTGCTTGAGAAATCCATCCTCATTTAAATAGAAACACTGATTTTATTCTTTACAGTAAATGAGTGATTATCAGGATTTAATTTAACTATATACTTTAAAATCCATAAAAAGAAAGACTATGCACAGATTGACAGCAGGGAATGACACTTGTACATTAAAAATGCAACACCACTTTCAATAAAGTTACATGTATAAATGTATAAAATGCTTACATGTCAACCCTTTCGGAAGTTTACCTGTACACTGACCTTCAAAAGTCTGTAATTTTCACCAAAATAAATAAATAAATAAATAAATAAATAAATAAATAGTACTCGCACCAGGGAGGAGTTTTAGGCTAAACAACCTGATAAAGAAGGCTGGTTCTGTTCTGGGGACGACTGTGGAATCTCTGGAGATGATGGTGCAAAGAAGGATTTTACATAAAATCAAGAACATTGTGGACAACCCTGACCATCCTCTTCATCAGACCATCATAGAAAGACAAAGTGTCTTCAGTCGGAGGCTTCTTCAACTTCAACTGTAATACAGACCGCTACTGAAGATATTTCCTGCCTATAGCCATCAGCATCTACAATAACTCTTTAGTTAAATGAGTTACAACAACACCTAATTTTTCCCTCTGGGATCAATAAAGTATTTTTGAATTTGAATTTTACCAGTGTTCCGCCACACCTTCCTCCTCCTTGTTGAAAGAAACAACTGAGGGCGCAGAGCCTCAGATCAAGAAAAACATTGATTCTGTGGCACATCACCATTGCTGTGGTGCGGCAAAGCAAGTTTTTTTTAATTCAACAGGCTGAGACAAAATAAATCTGAAACTGAAATTTAAAAAAATTTCTATCATCTCATATACCTACAAAATGGTTGGAAATCCATGTAATTCACGGACAAACCATACAAATTGACATTTATGAAACTGTAAATAACTGAATGCAATGATTCATAAATCGCATACACATTTTACAATGCAACTCAGTAAACATCAAAAGTTTAAAATAAAAATGTATATAATAAATTAAAAATAAAGTAATTTTGACACTAATGGCAGCAGCACGTTTCAAAAAATTGGAATAGAGTCAACAAAAAGCTTGCAAAGGTAAGTGGTACAAATAAGAAAGCTAGAGGAGAGAGTTTTGCAACTCATTAAGTTATTTGAAACCAGGTCAATTAGAGGACTAGGAATAAAAATATAATTATGGACAGACAGACTCTATCAGAAGTAAAGATGTGCAGAAGTTCACTGGTCTATAAAAAATAAATAAATTAAATAATGGAATAATTTTAGACTGTTTCTTAATGGAAAACTGGAAAGACATTGAATATCCATCCTCTACTGGTCACAATATCAGTAAAAACATTTCAAGAATCAAGAAATTTCAGTGCTGAAAAGGACAAAGATGAAAGTCATTATTGGATGCTTGTGATCTGAGCCCTCCAGCAGCACTGTGGGAAAACTGCAATGGAGAGCAGAAATAAAAAGGCCATACACAAAGATGTAAACCACCATCAGTACAAATAATTGGAAGGCCAGATTGAAATTTGTACAGACATGAGCCGCATAAGTTTTGGAAGACAATCCTATGGACTGATGAGACCAAAGTGATGGAAAGGACAAAGTGTGGAGAAAGAAAGGAACTGCTTATGATCCGAAACACACTTCCAACAAAACTAAGGACTTCATCAGAGGAAAAAAAGTGGAAGGTTTTAGATTTGCCAAGTCAATCACCTGAGCTTAACCCAACAGAGCATTTCACCTCCTGAAGAGGAGACTGAAGGGAGAAACCCCCCAAAACAAACAAGAACTGAAAGACGTTGTGGTAAAAGCCTGGAACATCATCACAAATAAAGAATGCAGCAACAGTTTGAATATGTTTTATAGGTAACTGTAGCTTCCATGAAAAGCTGCTGTCATTCCCCACTTTACTAAAGCCAGGAAAAACACAAAAAATAAAATCCATTTTAATAATCTTGAACATAATTTTGGTATTCATTTCTTGGTAAAAAAAAAATAATCAGGTGCATTTTTCCTACAATTCAACTTACCTCTCCAGCAGGTCCTTGGGCTTCTCCCACTGAGAAACCTCTGTTCTACAGTTGTAGTAGTACTTCTTGCCAGAGGAGCTAATGTGTTCTGTCCAATCATCTGCTGGGTCCTGGTGTTCAGAAAGATACAGCATAAACAGATCTACAATTACAATGGGGACAACTAATTTGTTCCTCTAGCTACATAAAATATGTATTATATGTAAGTATTGTGGCGGCACGACGGCTCAGTGGTTAGCATCGACGCCTCACACCAAGAAGGTCCTGGGTTTGATCCCCGGTTCGGACCTGGGGTCTTTCTGTGCAGAGTTTGCATATTCTCCTCGTGCTTGCGTGGGTTTTCTCTGGGTACTCTGGCTTCCCCCAACCCCCAAAAACATGCCAATAGGTTGCCTTCAGGCCCAGGCCTCCCTTGAAAAAGAGATCTGAGATCTCAATGGGACTTGCCTGGTAAAATAATGGTAAATAATAAAAAAATAATAATAACATAAAGCTTTTGGAATGTAATAAAGTATTAAATGTACGGAACCAATTCCGCAGCTGTAGAAGATTCTAAAACTGATAACTAATAACCCACACTGCACCTCTGTTGTCTTCTGGACTTTTTAAAAATCTAACATTGTATTAAATGCTAATATTGCCATAATTAATTTACAGACACATCCAACTTGTGCTCATGACAAAACTCCTGGGGTCGGATTTATAAAACTGGCGTACGCACAATTTGAGCCCAGAAACTTGCGTACGCCACTTTTTACAACAAGGTTGTGATTTATAAAATCCAAACTTGACGTGAAAATGTGCGGTGCCTCACGCCAGCTCTGACCCACGCGTTTGTTCATTTTGGAGACGGGAAGCTGTGACACAGATTGTGAAGAATTAGAGCTACACTGTGTAATGATCACTGTCAGAAATTTAATTTACCTTCATAAGACTTAGATTTTTATTCAACTTTATCATCAGCTTTCTTAAAAGTAATATTTATGCTTCTGCTGCTGAGCCAGAAGGAGCTTTGAAATAAAAAAGAAACTTAAATCTTAAATAAAAGTTCATGCAACTCATTCATTTATTTCCTCCTCCTCACGACCCTGACCCACAGACCCCTCCATGAACCACAGACCCCTCCCCGACAAGAGACATTTTAACAAACAGCATGACATGACATCACGCTTGTGGATGTTTTAAAACTTCACTTTTTCAAGTCTGTATTTGTCACGCAGGGGGTGTATCTGTGTGTGTGTGTGTGTGTGTGTGTGGGTGTGTGTGTGTGTGTGTAGGAGCTCGTGTCCCCATGCTTTGCTCGTTAGTCAGTGTAATTACCAGGGAAGGGGAGCAGATTAGAGTGTTTACGCGCCAGGATGTTTACATGGGCGAACACACATGCTGCCTGTATCACTGTGCAAGGGATTAAAGACGTGCACTTTCACTCAAGCGCAGCTAAAGCTGACAAATTTAGCAGTGTGTGTGCATATTCATCTATGACTCGTGCAAAAATGCTCACTATCGTATGAATGGGAAAGACTTGCTGTGTGTGTGTGTGTGTGTGKGGGGGGGGGGGTCTGCCACAGATGTCATTGGGGCAGCAATATACTGTATGCCCTCCTTGGATTTATAATAAATAAGTGGCAAAACGAAAGCGAACTTCAGTTGCTCACAATGTTTGTTATGATAAATATATTATAATAAATACAGATCTACATAATGCCCAACTAAAGACCCTGTCACACTAGACAACTTATGCCAACTTATGAAACATTTTTTATGTCTAAATTGCTAATAAAAGTTATATATTTGATCAATTTGTTAGAATTACATTATGTACACGCTAAAAGGAAGCTTCCTGTTGATTTTTTCAATTCCAACTTCAACGTAAAAGTCTTTAAAATGTTCATAAGTTGTCTAGTGTGTCAGGGCCTATTAAAACAGGACAAGAACTTACCCTGTCTGCAGGTTTACTCTGACTCGGATGAGATTCAGCAGCATGGTGAGAACTGTTGTTGTGAGGGGTCTCCTGTGGAGATCCACTGGTCCCTGTAACAAAACCTTACTTTAATCAGGTAACAAATAATGCACAGCACTTTGCAGATGACTTTATTCTAATGCTGTGAAACAGGAAGCATTAGGGTGGCTGTGGTAGAGTGGTTAGGGGAGTCGTCCTGGGACCAGAAAGTCGCCGGTTCAATCCCCGTCCAGTCAATTCAGTCATCGTGTCCTTGGGCAAGACACCTTATCCGCTTTGCCTACTGATGGTGGTCAGAGGGTCCGGTGGCCCCTGTGTATGGCAGCCTCGCCTCTGTCTGTGTGCCCCAGGGCAGCTGTGGCTACAGTGTAGCTTACCATCATCAGTGTGTGAATGTGTGTGTGAATGGGTGAATGTCTGTAGTGTAAAGCGCTTTGAGTGTCCTGGATGGATAGAAAGGCGCTATATAAGTACAGTCCATTTACCATTTACAGTCCATTGTTTTTCTCTTTACAGTCTACGTTTAAGATGCTGTGTTGTGATCTGATGACTGGAAGACAAAGTTCTCCAGAACCTTATTTTGTTATCCAGGATAGACTTTAGAGATGAGGTTTGATTTGAATGTACAGCTTCTACTTGATCACAAGAGTGATGAGAGAAAAGTGTACAAGGGACAGAAATTATCTACAACCCCAATTCCAATCAAGATGAGACATTGTGTAAAACATAAATAAATACAAAGTTTGACGATTTGCAAATCCTTTTCAACCTATATTCAGTTGAATACACTACAAAGACAAGGCATTTGATGTTCAAATGAATAAAGTGGTTTTGATGCCTGCAACACATTCCCATTGTCTTACATCAGCCTTCCTTTTAACAACACTCAATAAGTGTTTGGGAACTGAGGGCACTACTGTTGAAGTTTTATAAGTGGAATTCTGTCCCGTTTTTGCTTGATGAACAACTTCAGTTGCTCGACAGTCCGGGGTCTCTGTCATTGTATTTTGCTCTTCATAATGCTCCACACACTTTCAATGAGAGACAGGTCTGGACTGCAGGCAGGCTGATCTAGTACCTGCACTATTTTACAATGAAGACATGCTGTTGTAACACATGCAGTGGCAGGACATTGTCTTGCTGAAATAAGCAGGGACGTTTCTGAAAAAGACGTTGCTTGGATGCAGGGTTTCCCCCAGAAAAATGCCTCAGCTGGGTGGTAGGGCAGCTTTGGCAGCCCACGTTTTTGTTAAAAAAAATGTTAAAAGTTGACAGAAAATAGGACATAATGTAATTTTGGATTATTGTAAGACATTGTTGACAATACTTAAACACCAACTATAGCAGGGGTCATAAACACAGAGCAACACCAAGACCTACTTGTTTGATACAAACAAACTTTCACGGCTCATCTTTAATTATAGTAATAATAAATTTATGTATGAGTGTATATTGACTGCCTAATTATACCTTAATGTTAAATACTCCTCACAGTAATTGTCAATAATTTATCATGACTGATATGATGAATCATTATTAATAATTTGTATTTTGATCTTTAAATCCAGAGTGTTTAGTTTAAAAATATTTTAGAGCTCTTCTGTGTGACTTTAGGGGTGTATTCACACCAGGAAAGTCCTTTGGTCCAATTGTTTGGTCCGGACCAAAAGTAGACTTTATTTTTTTCGTTTGGTGCGGTTTGCATTCACATTGTTTTTTTGCAAATGAACTATAACTTGTAAACAAAGCCACGAGGGTGACGATCATTGCTCCCACTGGACAGAAAGGACGGGGGGCGGGACTGAGCGCACAGACCCAGAAGAAAACAAAGAAGTTCTGCATGCTGCGGTTCTGATGTGCACATTTTTGCTGATAGTACATTGAGTTGGGCATAATCGTATCGTGTGCAATTAATCGTCAGAAAAACATTAATCGATTATTTTTTGGCACTTGACAATTAATATGATTAGTTCCACCAGGCAGAGTGACTGGAGATTTCCCCGGTCAGTCCGCTCACTGCTCCTCTCTGCTTCAAATATGACGAACATTTAAACAAAAGTTCTGTAATTTATTTATCAACACAATTTAAAATTTGAAGTATAGCCTGAAGTCTGTGATTTTGACAGTTTGAAAAAGATTTTTACAAAGAGCAAATCTTTCCCACTAAATTGGTCATGTGACTAGGACATAAGGGTATCCAGGGACTCCAGGGGATTAATCATCAAATTAATCATTAACGGCTAAATACCACAATTAATCGTGATTAATTTTATTGCCATTATCGCCCAACCCTAATAGTACAACTGCAATAGCATTTAAAATATCAAAAGCAGGGAATTTAATGGTGGTTTCGTGATGAAATTCTAACTTTGGAGCGACATCAGTAAATCTGTCCCACAACCCAAAGGAGATGAGGTGCTCTGCGTGTTCTGACCCACAACATGCCGGCAGCAGGACTGCTAAGCAGGAGACGACGAAACAGGTATGATTTCAGTTTATTTAGCTCAGCAACGGTGGCCTGTGAAGTCCACAAAGGCGCATGTTTAATGCAGTTGGTTCGGTTAGAGTCCGGTCTGTATTCACACCAGAAGCGAACTGAAGTGAACCGCACCAGAGTTCGTTTGGAAGCGGACCGAGACCACCTCAAAAAGCAGGTCTCGGTCCGGTTGTTTGATCCGCACCAGAGTTCGTTTGGAAGCGGACCGAGACCACCTCAAAAAGCAGGTCTCGGTCCGGTTGTTTGACCCGCACCAGAGTTCGCATGAGTGTATTCACACCTGCACCAAAGGTCCGGACCAACGCTGGAAATGAACTCTGGTTCATTTAAAGCAGATCAAATGTGTCAGGCAAGGCCTAAAAGTGTGGGAAGGGACACATTTTTTAAAGGTCTTTTTTTTTCCTGCTTCGGTTGAAATAAGTGGGGGGAACAGAGGGCACAAATATGGGAAGTTGGGGGGACATGTCCCACCCTGTACCTATGGCGGTTACACCCATGGTGCCAGGCGTGAATACAACCTAGGTGTGACTGGGAGTGTGGATAATTGTTTGTCTCTTTTTCTGTGTCCCTGTGATGGACTGAGACCTGTTCAGGTGTCTCTGTGATGGACTGACACCTGTCCAGGTGTCTCTGTGATGGACTGAGACCTGTCCAGGTGTCTCTGTGATGGACTGAACCTGTCCAGATGTCTCTGTGATGGACTGAGACCTGTCCAGGTGTCTCTGTGATGGACTGAGACCTGTCCAGATGTCTCTGTGATGGACTGAGACCTGTCCAGGTGTCTCTGTGATGGACTGAGACCTGTCCCGGTGTCTCTGTGATGGACTGAACCCGTCCAGGTGTCTCTGTGATGGACTGAATCTGTCCAGATGTCTCTGTGATGGACTGAGACCTGTCCAGGTGTCTCTGTGATGGACTGAACCTGTCCAGATGTCTCTGTGATGGACTGAGACCTGTCCAGGTGTCTCTGTGATGGACTGAGACCTGTCCAAGTGCCTCCTGCTTGCACCCAAAGGCAGGTTAGACAGGCTCCAGCCCCCCAACTCTGATTAGGATCAAGGACAGAATGGATGGATGATTTCTCTATTATAGCAGGAAACAGATATTTAAAAGCCTGGTGGTCTGCCAGCCTTATAATGCACTGGGACAGCAACCCTGGGATGGCAACAAATGTTGCTCCAAAATCTGTATGTACCTTTCAGCATTAATGATGCCACTGTAGAGTTTTAACTTGTACTTGTAGAGACAAACTGTGTTCACTGACAGTGGTTTTCTGAAGTCTTCCTGAGCCCATGTGCTAATATTTGTTACAGAAGTCAGTTTTTAATGCAGTGCTGCCTTAGGGACACTGCCTGATGTCCAGTCAAAGACATTCAATGTTGGTTTTCAGCCTTGCCACTTACTTGCAAAGATTTGTCCAGATTCTCTGAATCTTCTGATATTATAGACTGTAGATGATGAAATTCCTAGGCCTTGCAAATCATAGTATTCTGCTTTTATTTCTGTTTTACACAACATCTCAACTTCATAGGAACTGGGGTTGTATTAAGTCAGAGATCAGCACAAAAAGACGCCAGAAAGGAACCTCGGAGACCATAATTCTATCAAAATCATTTTGCACTCTTTTGTTGCACTCAGCCATAAAAGTTCAATTCTCTCATTTGAAACTTTTAAAGAATAAATATAAGTCATTGCCTGTGCAAAGACACAGCACCAAGACTTACCATTTTTCCCTCTGGCAGTATGAGAGGTTTTGGCTTTGCTGTGTCCCGTTCCATCGCTGTGTCTGCTGACAGGACTTTCATCTGACCGCCGCAGCACCTTGTAAGGGGGCATGGGATCTGATGAGCTGTCACGCACCTTGTTAAAGCGGTGAAGGCTGGTGGACTGGCTCTTTGGCTGAGATTTATGGGTCTAGAAAGAAGAATACGTTGCTTAGGAAATGCTTCATCTTACAGCAATAACCATAGTTTGTGTTAACAGTTAAAGTCCTAGTAGCACTGACAATAGTGAAGTGGATGTAATTATTAAATTTGTACATGTTGTGTGTCATAATCTGGAAATCCTAAAAACTAGTAACTGGCTCAAGAAGTTGGGAGTTCATTCGTCGTTTATTTTGAGAGAAATCAGTATTTCATTTAAATGCAAACCGAGGCTTTAAACACTTCTTGAAACACTTTTTAAACACACACACTTATGTCAGCTGAATCAATAGTTTACCTGAACATCTTACCTGATAGGATTGTGAATCCCTTCGGTCGTTGCACCTGAAGAGACACAAAAAGGGGAAGTTTCAAACAGTGTATACCTTATTTGGATAAGTTTGATGAGTTTACTTTTATTAGTAAACGGTTTTGCTACAGTTAGCAATGCTAACATGTTTTATAGACATATTTTCATTGCCAAAATTATTCCAGAAAAAAAAGTAATATATTGTTTTAATACTAATAATAGTAATCAACTCTATACGCCTAAATTACCATTATGCCAGATGTTCTAACGTCAGTCGGGTTAGCTTAGAAATGTCCGGAACCTTAGCTAACTCTTTAGCTGTTAGCGGTTAGCCGCGATAGCTAAAGGTTACGAAGAAATAGCAAGCTTTCAAAATTTATCACGTACACCCATTAAATCCAAACTCTAAATTAGATTTACCCATCGCTGACTCTTGTTGGTTTCCTTGCATGCATCACCATCAAGGCCCTGATGATGTGTATATGTGTTTGAGGGGGAACCGTGGCCTCCTGTCTGCTCTTTACAGTTGTTGTTTTTTTCCCCCAGCTTCCTGTTGTCTGCTCTATCTTACCACCATCCAGCTACAAGTCGTCCTCCGAGTACCACCATTGCACAGCGGGTGGTGTTTATTAAGAACCACCCTCAGTACATCATCTGACATGTAAGTACAGTGTGCGTTTAACTCGGCCAAAAGGAGCTGAGCGGAACGCAGAAGACGTAGGAGGAAACGGAGATTTGTCTGCTCGCTAATGGTTGGTTGGGACCACTTCCGGTTAACTTTTCAAAATAAAGCTGCTATTATCTTCCGGACAGCGTTGCAAGAGGTACGATAATTTTGCCCTCTGTACGATGATGGATCAGTAATTCCAAAAATCCCATAACGTACAATAATTTCAAAGCGGGGCTGAAATAACCCGTCTGACATGAAAGGTGGCGGGTTGTGGAACACAGAGTTGCAAATTTAGTGACTTTGTGTCCGCTTTGTCTCATGTACTTTAGTGCAAATGTGTAATTGTGCTTGGTGCAATAATGTTTGTGATCTTGTCATTGTAACATTTTACTGCAACATTCACTATAAAACATGCATAATAATACCTGAGTGATCTATTCAATTTGAACATAAAATATGGAGGTGCAATGCCCCCTTTGTAAAGTAGAGATTAAAGTACAGAAAGAAAAAAATTGTGTAGGTCTCTGGACGGGTTCTTCTCTAATGAAACGTTTCGTCTCTCCTCCAAGAGACTTCTTCAGTCTGAGAGTTTCAGGCAAAATTCAGGCTTTTAAGCGGCCAGAACTCTGCAGTTTTCACTCATTTACAGGCCAGCGGTCACTCTTTCAGAGATGAGGATGTTCTCATTC